TGGTAAAAAACAATGGTCTCTTTAACGCAAAAGGAAAAAGGGGAAATGGGGACCAAAGAGCATGGGCCAAAATGGAGCTGAGACCCACTTGGGGACAATAATAGCGCCCATGGACCGACATACAAACAAATGCCTAATAACCCTGGGAACAAGGGACACTGGGGAAACGAGCCAGTTATTCTCCCCCGCCCTGTCAAAACAAAAGGCATCCACCCCCTCCAAGTCAGGATACCAGAAACGAGAAAAGAATCTGGGCAATTTGCGGTATTAGAATGGGCAAAACGATCTACGGAAGTGGACCCCAAATGTTGTCTACAAGGCGAAAAAATTCAAACGAAACACCCCAATCATCAAAGTCAACGATCCTGCTGATGGCATCCACGTGCCCATTGAGAGACCTAGGAATCCAGTCCACCTGCAAATCAATACCATTTCGCAAAACTAGCTGAAAAATAGAGACGGAAAGTTCGTGTAAACCCCGCTTCATACTCCCGTTGCGAATAATGGACGGAATGTAGCGGTTATCCGTAAACCATTAAATCGCGCCCTGACAAAACTACGGAAAAACTAGAGAGACAAATATAGCTGGGAAACATTTCATTAGCAGTCCACGGACGATGACAAATAACACCCTCGTGGTCTTAACAACACCGCCAACCCCTAGATCACTAGCATCTGAATAAACAATGGAACGAGAACATGAAAAGTGACGCCCAGTGGGCCTACCATTCAAACACCGAACGTTCTCTTTCCAGAAAAAAAAGCTCTTCTTTGACAGAATCGGACAAAGGAAACCTAGAGTCCCAACTAGACTGAAGGACGATGGACATATGAATAACCTTTGTCATCAACGGTTGTAACATTACCTACAGCTAGTTAAAGGAATTAATACGACCAGCAAGAACGGACAGTTCCCTGGCAGTGCAACAATTAGCCTCTAAAAGGGAATCAATATCAGAAAGAACCCGTTTGAGTTTTATCCCCTGAACAAAAAGGAAACCCTGAAAAAGATCAATGGGGAAACCCAAACAATCAAGGGCTGATGTAGGAACCCAAACAGATTTCTCGAGGTAGGGTACAAAGCCAGAACGAATCAAATCAGTCTTAACCCTGGTGGAATGGTCTAAAGCAACCGGATATGAAGGCCCCTCCCCTAAACCATCATAAATATAAACGACAATGTGAATACCAACCCACCTTTTGTGTAAACAAAAGGGATTGAACAGAGGCCGAAGGGCAGGACCCTGAAACAAAACTAACGGACCTTACCCTGGTAAAACCAGGAAAAACCCAAAAATGTCTGGTGGGGCGGGAAGATAAGGACATGATGATAACCCCTCTTAATGTCAAATGAAAACATGAAATGACCCTTGTCAAAATAATTCAGAGCCACCTTAAGAACCTCAAACTTGACCTTTGGCTTCCAGACATGCTTATTTACAAACCTAAGGTCCAAGATCAACCTCTTCCTCCCAGATGATTGAACAGAAACGGAAAGAGGGTTGACGTTATGTAGCAGGACCTCCGATCCAAAAATGCGATTGGTAACCAACAATTAGGAAACAGCTTCGTTAACAAAATCAGAATGCGTCAAAGCTGACTTATTATAACTAGAGTGGAAAGGAATACGATAACCATGCTCGATAACATCTAGAATAAATTGACTGGCGCCTATAGAACGCCAAAACTGAACAATGACATGGGATTTTAGCCTACCGGCTACAACGATAGTAGAACTACGACCCTGTTCATATTCAAAAAAAGTCAAAATCATCTTCAACAAAATTCGTTAACTTATCTGTGTCCTCGACGAGTGCACCAACATCCGAGTCCATCACGTACGTTTCCCAGGTTGGCTAGGTGAAAACTACGCCTGAAGGGCGGGGCACTGATTCCTGAAAAGGCCGAAACTGCCAAAACTGCCAACACTGCCAACACGCGAACCACGGTGAGCCTTAGGCCAATTGACGGCAACGAAAGGGTTCGAAAAATTGGAACTTTCCTTTAACTCTTCGAAGGCCTTTTCAACTTGAGGAGAAGACTCCTGAAGGGCGGTCGAAGCAGACTGGACGTGTTCAAGAACTTCAGAATTAAGTAGGAACTGCTTCTCGTTGCCTTTCTTTTAAAACTTCGGAACATTAGCAGTAGCTGTCTTGAGCTTCTTCAGCGCAGCGTCGTGTCCTTGTGCAAGTTCTCTCTTTAAAGAAGATAAACCAGACCGAAACTCGTCTTTGAGCTCGGAAATGCTTCGCGAGATCATCATCGGACGGCATTTTAAAATTTGATAGTTCGAGAGCTGAGATGAATACATTACAACTGTCAAAACCTTATATACCTTACAACAATAGAGTCAATTAACGCCATAGCGGCTCACGTGCGTTCATACCAATAGGAAAGTATTTACATTCTCTGTCACTGCCACTACGTTTAGCTCCGCCGAATGTAAATACATATCTCTCTACTTAAAAAGCCAATTTAGAATATTATTAAATTCTGATACTCTGTAAAACCTTCGCTATCTCTACTAAAAGCTTATACATAGTGATATAAATCTCTCTACTTAAAAAGCCAATTTAGAATATTATTAAATTCTGATACTCTGTAAAACCTTCGCTATCTCTACCAAAAACATATTTATAATAATATCACACTCTAATGTTCTAAAAAATCTAAATAAAAACGTCAGCAAGATTGTGTTTCTAGATTTCTAGAGAAAAAACAAAAACCTAAAAACTGAAGTCCATAGCGCCCTAACTAAGTATTTATCTTAAATGTTCTGGCAATGTTTAAAGTGTTTGAGATGACCGACTTCTGCATTCGCTGAAGTACGCTCCGTGCTCTCGCTCCAAGTAGCTTCCTCACCGACTTCTCTAGGTGTTTAGAGTAACCCCCCAGTACGTCAATTATTACGTTGTACTGTTCAACCCTGTAACCATTGTATCTCTGCTTCAGCTCCCACATCATGGGCCCATACTTGAGTGTCTTTTCCTCATCTTTCTTAGCTCTACTCTCAATCCATGGGCAGCTCATTTCAATTGTGCAGACTTCTTTCCTCTCGTGGTTGACAAGTCGGGCGTCGATCCGATTTGCTCTAACTTCGTTGTGCTCTGCATAGATAGGAATATCCCAAAACGCCTCACTCGTGGTGTTCTGGTAGGCTGGTTTTGGCATCACCGGTGAGTACCATGGTGGAACCTCTTCCATTAACCCACGCTCTCGCAGGAGCTCAAAAAACAGAATCTTCAAAGCTGCATTATGCCTGTATAGGTACTTGGTTTGTGCCAGGGAGGAACATCCAGCCAGTACATGTGCAACGCTCTCAGCTACCTTCCCACATAATCTGCATAGAACTTCGCCGTCGGTGGAGGTTTGCGTCTTCTTCTTTGTGTAGAGCTTCGTAGGTAACAACTGCTCATACAGTTCATACATGCCCGCGATGGTATGTGTAGGACATGTAGCCCAACCTTTTAACCATGCAAAGCAGCTGGCTATGCTTAGGCTCTCATCTTCCCATCTGATACGGAATAACTTTCCTTGCCACTTCCTTATTATTATTATTATTATTATTATTATTATTATTATTATTATTGTGAAAGGTTTGAACCCAGGAGTCATTTCAAAAGGTCGAGTTTGATCGTCCGGGTGAACGTAGTCCTGAATAGGACTGTTGTTGTTGACAGTGACTGACGTTTCGACAACCTGTGCGGTAGTCATCTTCAGAGTCAAAGTGAGTTGCATCACGTCAGTTGATGGTATTATACTTTGGTTATTGATCTGATTGGTCAATTATGTCGTGATATTATTGGTCGTCTGTCAGTTAAGCCGTGATGTTATTGGCTATGAAGACTCGTAATCAGTGATTGGTGCGTTTCGATCCGTCTATTGTCGAAGTTAAACAGTCGTCTATTGTTAGTCAAATTGTTTGTTCTCCAGTTGTTCTCTCGTAGTTAGTTTTGCTTGATCTCGTCAATAAGTCGTTTGTACGGCGCTGGTAACTGTTGACTACGATTCAGTGGCGTTTGTTCTAAGTTAGTAAACCAGCTTTCTAAAGTAAGACGTTGATAGTAGTCTGTAGAATACGTTATACATGTCGCAGAGTCCCAGTCAATTTGATGTTTCGTCTTTAAATGGTGCTCAGCAATGTGATTGTTGACGTCACCATTCCTCGTTGCGCGTTTGTGTTCGGTCAGTCGCGTGCTTAGGTTTCTGCCGGTTTCACCAATGTAAGAAGCCTGGCAGTCGCAGCATTTGATCTTGTATACTGCTCCCTGTCTGTCCTCCGGTTTGTCTTTGTCCTTGACATTAGTAAGCAGTCGCCGTAAAGTGGTTATCGGTTTGTGCGCAACACGTATATTGTAAGGTTGTAATATACGTGCAATAGTTTCAGAGGTGCCTCTGATGTACGGTATAGTCGCTGTCGTAACAGGGCCAGAGTTGGTCTGAGAGTTGGAATCAGTGTTACTGTGAGTGTTCCGTCTATAACAAAGTCCGTGTTGTAATTGTTCTTATTAAAAACGTTGTTAAGATAATCAGTCTCGTCTTGTAGGCTGTCAGGTGAGTCGCAAACTAGTTGCGCTCGTCTCGTCAGAGTCCGGATAGTAGTAGCCTTGTGAGAGGTCGGCCGGGTTGTACGAAGACTGGTCTAGTAATCGGTCGGTATGTGTCGGTTTTCTGTAAATAGTCGTTTTTAGTTTGTTGTTGTCGCGAGCGACCAAGCAGTCTAGAAAAGGTATCTTACCATTTTCTTCGATCTCCTTGGTGAACTGTATGTCCGCGTTCTGTCTGTTAAGGTGTTCGTGAAAATCGTCGATTCCGTCTTTGTGTATGGCGGTGAATGTGTCATCAACGTAACGTAACCAAATAGGTACAGTTCGCGTGTAGGTAGCTAGGGCTTGTTCCTCGATCTTTTGCATGACAATTTCTGCTACAACAACAGAAACTGGAGAGCCCATAGCTGTACCGTGTAAACAAACAGTTACACGTTACAGCTATGGGCTCTC